TCTGTTCTCTTGGAACATAAGAAGTACATTTGTAATAGCTACCTTAATGTCTGTATCCGATAATTCCACCATATGTTGCCTCTCTTTTTACTGGTTGATTTTTGTCCTAGCTAAGGATCATAGTTTTCTGCCTTAGAGATGTGAAAAATGGTGTATTTTTCTAAATTAGTTATGAGTATATTTATCTTGTATGCTTAACTTCAGTGAAGTATTCAATGAAAGACTGCATTTTAAAAAGCAGGTTCTATTCATTATAAACATGAATGAAAATGTCCTCACTGTATTTTACCCTCTTAATTATACAGCACAGTATTTGTTATATATAAGCACAATGACGCATAAAGCCTTTTATTCTTGCTTATCTGAGACTTTACATCCACCCATAAGACACATAAACTCCCTGTTTCTCACTGCAACATAGCCCTTGCCAACTATTGCTTTACTTTCGTTGAGTCTGACCATTTTTAAACAGCCTTGAACAGTGCCCTTATGTGGTAGAAAGGCAAAGCATCTATCTAGTTTTTAAAATCCATTTCTAGGCCCTCTGCATTAATAAGGTCCCAAATCTATTTCAAGAGGGTTCTGATATAGACAATAAGTGATCTCCTAAAGGCTCTCACATTGGAAACATATCCATTAATGTTGCATACTGAATACTGTCTTAGGGTTTCTATTGCTGTGAAGAGACTGAAACTTTTTAAAAATAAATCTAATAAATCTGTCTGTCTGTCTATCTATCTATCTATCTATCTATCTATCTATCTATCTATCTATCTATCTATCTTTACATCCCAGCCAGTTTCCCCTCTTTCTTCTCCTCTCAGTTCCTCCCACCGATTATCTGACAACCAGGGAGCCTGCATGGGGCTGATATAGGCCCTCTGCATATATGTGACAGTTGTGTAGCTTGGTCCTCTTGTGGCACTTTTAACAGTGGGAACAGGGGCTGTCTCTGACTCTTTTACTCATTTTTGGGACCCTACTCCTCATACTGGATTACCTTGACCATGGCAACTCTTATAAAGAAAAGCATTTAATTGAGGTGGTATCTTATAGTTTCAGAAGTTTAGTCCATCATTACCATGGTAGAGAGCATGGCAGCTGGGAGTATGATGGCTTGCAGCAGACATGGTGCTGGAGAATCTACATCTTGATTCAAAGGCAACAGGAAGTGAACTGGACACTGGGAGTGACTTGAGCACCAAAGCCCACCTCTACAGTGATACATTAATCTAACAAGTCCACACAAGGCCACACTTCCTTTGAAAGGGGCGGAGAGATTGTGTGGGGAAAAAATACAGCTCCAGATCTCCCAAATTTGCTGAAATCTGTGCTCAGCCACCACTGTGGAAAGCAGAGGCACCCTATGGCCTAACAAGTCTGTACTTCAATACACTCCCTGAACTGAGATGTGAAATGAGACCATGAACCGAAACATGATCTCAAAGTTACATCTGTACACCCAAGTTGACAACAGCATTGTTGTTCATAGACACGACCCACGTATCCAATGAAGGATGAATGGATTCATGTGGTCAAATACATTCAGTGGGATATCCTTTACTTTTTTTTAAAAAGAAGAAAGCTATAAAATAGATCAGTTTTAAGGGCATTATACTAAATGAAATAAGTTATACACAGAAAACAAATACTATATGACTTATAGTAGTTATAATGAAGTAGTTAGAAAGGCACAAAGAGACAAAAGAATAGTGGTTGCCAGGGGAAGTTACTGGGGACTTATGCTGGGTACAAAGTTTCAAAATGAAAAACTGTGGAGAAACATACATAACCTTTGGAATCCCTAGACTATACAACTAAAAAATGGCTAAGACAGCAAATTTCATGCTATGCATATTTTAACACACACACAAATAGAAACAACAAAAGTACAACAAATAAGATTTAATCCCAGAAGCTAAGCTCTAATGATTTAATTCACAGACAAAAAGAATAAGAGCTTAGTGGCTTGTTCAAAGTCACACAACTAGTCTGGCTATAATAACTGCTGATTTCAAGTTTTCCAAATTCCAAGGCTGTGCTTGCCTTTGTAACTTGCTACCTGAGCTTACTACTCGCTACTACTTACTACTTTCAACACAAGATGGAATAAACAAATATATTCATATTTGTTTTTATATCACCTACACAAAGTATAATCTAGTTTATCCTAGAATGTTTTAAAAGAATACTAAGTCATTGGATTCTTTATTTTTTTATTACTTTGGGCTTTTTATTTACCAAATGTGAATTAATATTTATCAAATTTTAAGGAAAAGGCCTATGTAGGTTGATGGCTTTTATACCCCAAGACAGTTTCTTATACATTTTTTTTTACCATACTTGAAATATTTTCTGTTTATTAATTTGAAGCTAATATGCTAGAAACAGTGAGCTAATACTTGATATAGATGAATTCATATTAAATGTACTATAGATGTCATTAGTAAAATAAAAAAAACGTTAAGAACTAAATTGACAATTCTACATAAAGTCATTAATCTTAAAATTTTAGCATTACTACAGAATAAAATATAGTTAATATAAAGGTGGTTTAATCATCATACAAATGGTTTATTGATCTCACATAAAATGAGTTTATTGACAAAACAGTTTTCTTGTAAACAAATCATCACGCATCAGAAAATACAAGTCTGTATTACTATTAGCTGAGATTCAGAAATTCAACACATGCTTAGTAACTGAAATGATACTTAGTATAATATTTACAAAACAAACTATTATATAACTATAGAAGCTTTAAATTTCCTGATTTCTTTCTTTCAAAGTTTAAAATTTGTTTTCTAAGAGCAAAGCAAACACAGATATCACATACAAACCCATCATAAACCAAACATATCCTCTCAGGCTGGGTGTCACATAAGGAAGGCTATTTCAAATCCAGTGGATTATTTTATAAGCTGAAGATTACAAAAAGTTTAGTTTTAATAAATTACCTAGAATGAGTTCCTTCCAAATCTTTATTTTTCTTCTTTAGATTTTGATGTCTAAAATAGATATTTCTTTAACAGAGGTTGCAAGTTCTAATTTATATGCTAGATTTTAAAATATGTTTTTTTTTTTTCTTTAGCTCTTTGGAGATTGTTGGGAAATGCAGCATATATCTTACAGACTTTCTCAACTCCAATTTTAGTTTCTTCTAATGTTTCTAAACATTTATATTTTAGGAATCATATTAAATTAGATCTAGTACCCAAGAACAGCAAAATCCATGTGTTGAAGTCCCTTTTATAAACTAGCACAGTATTTTCATGAAGCCTCCATAAATCCTCCCACATAGTGTAAATCTCCTCCAGATTACTCACATACTACCTGTTACAATACAAATGCTTTGTCAGCAGTTGTTATACTGTTTTGTTTAGGAAATTACAACAAGCAAATGAAGTTTATATATTTTTTCCTGCAAACATCTTTGATTTGCTATTAGTCAAATCCACCAATTTGGAACTGGCTCACTAATGTACTTTTATATTATGATATTTTCATTTAAAACTCCATGTGCTATAAATTACTGTGATGGTTTGAATAGAAAAGGCCCATAGGGAGTGGCACTACTAGGAAGTGTGACCTTGTTAGAGTGGGTGTGGCATTGTGGAGGAAGTATGTCACTAGGGGTGGGCTTTAAGGTTTCAGATGCTCAAGCCTGGCCAGTGTGTCTCCGTTTCCCTTCCTGTTGCCTGCCTATCTGGATGTAGAACTCTCAGCTACCTCTCCAGCACCATGTCTGCCTGCAAGCAACCATGCTCCTTGCCATGATGATAATGGACAAAATGGCTTTGTTCAAAAAAAGCCATTTTGTCTACTATCATCATGTAAGCCAGCCCCAATTAAAAGTTTTCCTTATAGAGTTGCTGTGGACATGGTGTCTCTTCACAGCAATAGAAACCTAAGATACTTAACTTTATTGGGGCAGATAAGCATCATTCTCTCAAAGTCTTGCTAATTCTGTTTAAACTTACTAGGTAAAGCAAAATATAATTAGGATGAATCTCTTTTCAAGGAACAAAACCAGCATTATATAAACTTTTAGCTTTGAAAACAAAGAGCATTATTTAGAAATAAATAGGCACTTGGCATGCACCTACTCATGGCATTAAGTCTGGTTTAAAAAAAAACAATTATCTCATAAAATTAGCATTTATTTTTATTTATTTATTTGGTTTTGTTGTTCTTTTTGAGTCAGTGTTTCACTGTGTAGCCCTGGCTGTCCTGGAACTCATCTGGCCTCAAGCTCAGAGATCTACACCTGCCTCTGCCTCCTGAGTGCTAGGATTAAAGGCATGCGCCATCATGTCTAGCTAGAAAAGTGGTACTTGTAAGGACTTTCAGGATATGGGGCTTGGTAGAGTTACTTAGACACTTACATGCATATTTAAATTCAAAGTAATTAACTTGGCACAAAATGCTAAGATAGCCACAGACAATAACTAATGACTAGATATGGCCATGTTCCAATAAAACACTATTTACTAAAACAAGTGGCCAGGCTGTGGGCCAATTTGACCACTTCTGTCCCAGGCAAACATTTCTTTTCAATATATTACACCTTCAGTGATCATGCCATCATGTTTCCTGACAGTTGTTACAAGAAACACTAATCACACAAACGGTAAAGAATCACCCTTGCCCACTTTCTGTTGACAGGATCTCATGTATTCCAATGGGACCTCAAACCTGCTAAGTAGCTGAGGATAACCTTGAATTTCTGATTTTCCTGCCTCTATCTCCCAAGTGAGCAGATTACAGGTGTCCCTCACCACACCTGATTTAAGTGGCACAAGGGATGGAACCCAGTGTTTTGTGCATGCTAAGCAAGCACTGTATTAACAGCTATATTCTAGCCTTGAGAACCCATAAAAATGCTTTTTAGGCACAAATCTCTAGTTAGACTCAGAAATAAAAGTATGTTAATAAAATAAATATTAAACTATGTTTGAAAATGTGTAAGAGTACAATTATATTTTATTAAATAATCTTACCTTAAACAAGTGAAAGAATCAAAATCCTAATACATCTCTGGCTTCAATTCAAAAAATATTTGAATCAAACTTGAGTTTCTTATTAAATTCCTAGAAGAAAAAAATGAAAATGAAAACCTTTCAGCAAGATTTGGTTGCAGATAAAGTGTAGCAATTACAGCACTCCAACTGTCCCACCAACTCAATGTAGCTCTAAGACCTGGCTGAAATGCCTAAAATAAAATACATGGGACCCAGAAAAGTAAATGGCAATAGGCAGGTCCTATAAGAGGACCAGAACACAAAGCACCATTTTAGAATGGCCATCATTTTGGTTTCTTATGTTATCATCCAGTCAGAAGTGTGTATAGCCCAAAGAAAAGTTTCATGTTCTAGTTGTCACTGGAGAGGGAAATCTTAACAAGATTTCTTCTTACACAAGAAAGTGTAGAAGTCTCTCTCTCTCTCTCTCTCTCTCTCTCTCTCTCTCTCCTCCTCCTCCTCTTTCTCTCTTCCTTTTTTTTTTTCCCTCTCTCCTCCCCCCACACACACACACACACACACACACACACTCTTCTCCATTCTCACCCAGCCATCTATGGCTCAATGGCAATGAGGATCACTACTCAGAGGTAAGAGAAGCTTGCTCTCTGGTTAGAGGTGCAGCAGTTCCAAGAGGATATGGAGATTCGTGCATGCACACAAGTGTGCATGTATGTGTGATATTCAGAGCACCGCCCCCCATATCCTCCTACTTAGTCCTGAAGATGAGAATAGCTTTGGGGAGTCCACCTTAACAAATAAAGCTTCACATTTCTGTCAGAGACTGGAAAAAGGTAGCCCAGAGACCACTGGCGAGCATAAACAAGGAGATCAACAATGCAGCAAAATACTGTATTGTAGGTGCATATGACATACATATGATGGAATTACCTACTGACAACCTATCACATGTTGAAAATACTCTAAAACATGCATTTAGCACACCTAACCTACTGAATATCATGGCCTAATCTATATGTACTCTTGACACTTAGGTCACAACCAGGTGAAACCTTTTAATTCAAAGCCTGTTTCAAAATAAAGTGTTGATTATCTTGTGTAATCTTCTGAACATTATACAGGAAGCAAAAACCCAGAAAATGTGGTTTGCTTTATACTGTGACAAAGTTGAGAAGATCCTAGATCTAACCATCATAAACTGACCACTGTTTGGATTGGACAATAAGTCAACATATTAACTATACATACTGATATGACAGGGGGAAAATCTTAGAAAATTCCTAATAATACTCATCAATTTGCTCTGCCCATAACATGAAACTTCACTGCCCCAGCCCGAGTATGGGCTGAATTCTGCAACTCATTCCCAAAGGCTAGAATACAGAAAGATTTTGTTGTGGAGATACTAAGCAAATACTACCTTCTCCAAGTAGTACTATCTTTATGTACTCCCGAAAAGGGATGAAAGGCCACTTTGACTTTGTGTTGCTATTTTCTAAAACCCACTCTTTAATCATGAGGAAAGTACCAAAGTGCATGAGATACATTCTATGGAATACCCGGCTTGTACTCAGAACAATCAAGGTCATGTAAAGCAAAGACAGACAGGAGACTGTCACAGACTACAGGAGACGTTCCACAAAAGTCATGTGAAATCCTGGACTATGAGGAAGCTAGTAAGGAATGAGTTTGAAACCCAAAGTTGTTAACTTGACTACATCTGGAATTAACTAAGGCCCAATCAGCTAGGCACACCTGTAGGGGATTTGTCTTGATTGGATCATTTGAGGTTCACAAGACCCACCTTACATTTGGACCACATTTTCTGGTGGTAGCTTATAAAAAACAACATGGAAGGAAGCTTTTACCTGCTTGCCCACACTCTTAAGGGCAAATTCATTCTTTAACTAGTATTACAGCCTATTTCTTCAGGATTCCAGGGTATATTGAAGACTAGCTGAGATATCCAATGTCCTAGGCCAAATTACTATTGGATTCTTGGACTTTCCACCAGGAGATAACCATTGTTGGACTAGCAGGATAATACCCTGTGAGCCTGTAATAAATCGTGTGTGTGTGTGTGTGTGTGTGTGTGTGTGTGTGTGTGTGTGTGTGTGCGTGCGTGCGTGCGTGCGCGCCCATTCTACCAGTTCTGTTTCTCTAGGGAACCCTGACTAATTTAGCAAGTATTAAGGCAACAAAGTTAGTTTTTTTTAAGCTAATAACTTAGCCTGGCACAGTGGTATATGCCTGTAGTTCCTGTTACTTGTGGGGCTGAGACAGGAAAATCACAACTTTCAAGCCAGACAGGACTATATAGTGAAATCCTATCTCAAAGACAAAACAGCCTCCCACCCCCAATTGAATAAGCCCCCAAAGCTCTTTTTAAACAAGACTGACTTATGGGCCAGAAATAATGACTCAATGTGTAAAAGTGCTTCTATGTAGGCATAACATCCATGAAAAAAGCTGGTGTGACCTGAGTGCTGCATTGGGGGGCAGAGATAGGACAGGGGGTGGAGGCTTACTGGCAAGCCAGTCTTTCCAAAATGGTGATGTCTGGGGGCAGTGAGAGATTTGTTTCAAAAAGGAAGGCAGAGAGAAATAGAGAAAGACCCAATCCAGACCCCTGGCCTCCACGTGCAGGTGTTCTGGCAAAGGTACATGCCCCCACACCCACACACATTCTTAACTTACAGTCATTAGAAAATGGGGAGGGGGTAATTTATTACAAAGAGCATTCTGAAAATGAAAAACAATACTTTGTTTCCTTTTTTATTATCAGGGAAAATAGGAGTTTATTATCAGGGAAAGTAAGATATTTAAGTAAGTAGGGTAAGGGAAAACAAGCCGGTTAAGTAGAAAAGGGATTTCACAAGTAATTTCACTCCTACCTCCACTAAGGAAGCAGTACTATAAGCTTACAATAATGATTATTACATTACTCACATGTGGTCATAAAACATCAAAGTCTATGCATTTTAATAATAATGAAATAAAATTAAACACAAAGGCCCTATATGTCTCAAACACTTTCATCATACCATTTAACCTTTTGGTTACTGTTAATCCTACTTATTTTAAAAAATATTATTCAGTCAACTACTTCTAAGGCAAACTCAGTTCTCCACTGTACTACTAACGTCAGCAACAATTTCAAATAGCCATCCTCCACTCATCTATACTTGTACTACTTTCAAATGGGCAACAAATGGGTCTGTAACGAACAGCTTTCACCCCAAGGCCTTCTGTCATAATATGACATTCAATTAGAAATGAATGGTATGCTTCAAGAATTTAGGTTTTCTCCAGAAACACATCGTGGGAGAAATAATTAGCATTGGTTACTGATTCCCTTTTAACAAATCTACCTGTATGTGGTATCTGTAAAAATTCAACAAGATCAGTTTAGCTTCACTATCCATTCGAATAGCTCCTACTATCAAGCCAGGTGTTTACTGTTTCACATTATCTACTAGATGTGCCATTTACTTTTTAAAAGGTTGATCTATAACCAAGTTAGACTTCCAAAATTGCAAGACACCTGCCACCAGCTTCTGCCAGGTTAGTACATCTTGGTTGTCTCTCTGTGGCACTGGACGTGTTTATGCAACTCCTATATTTTAATGTTCAGAACCACAGAGATTTCTCTCCCTTCTCAAAAGAACCAAGAAACCCTCAATCATTATTTCTTCTTTTTTCCTTGTTGTGTAGGACCATGACACCAAACTCCTCTTTGTCTTTAGAGCTTACAATAATGCCAGCAAATAGCAGCCATCTGAATACTTCATTTATTTAGTCAATTAACAAACATTTAATAAGATAAATAAAACAAGACAAAAATCCTATGATCATGGAAATTACTGTGAGTAAATACAGTTGGCCTTTAGAAGAGGCAATGGGAAAGAAAGTCAACTCATAGCTGCTTAGTGTGGGCTGCAACCTCATCTGAGGTTGCATAACTCAAATGGAGGTCACAAAAATCAATCAACAGTAAAAGGTTCCTGCTGCATGTGCAACAACCAAAGCTTGATTCAAAAACCAACAAGCAATGATCCCAGAGTGTTTCTGTAAGTGTTCTTCTGTGATGCATCATGGACTTCACTACAACCCTGGTTCTGAAAACTTAACTCACATGGTACATATGCTTTCATGTCATGCAGTGCCAATACACACTGCCTCAAACACCTAAGCTCAGATTCTAAACCATTACACTATAAATTGCAGTGTTTTAAAATGTACATAAAAACTTTTCTGCCCTCACAGAAACATAATGGTTTAATTATTGAAATCAATGAATTTTAATTTTCTTATCATCATTTCTCAGTATGCAAACATCAAATTAGTATATCAATAATGTTATATTAGGCTCAAATATTTTATTTAAAAATGGTTATTTGGCTGGGCAGTGGGGTGGTGTTTGCCTTTAACCTCAGCACTGAGAAGGCAGAGACAGGTGGATCTCTGTGAGTTCAAGGCCAGCCTGGTCTACAAATTGAGTTCCAGGAAAGCCAAGGACAGAGAAACCCTGTCTGGGGGAGGGAGGCAGTGAAGATGCCCTACGCCCAGCAGTGTCAAATAGTTAGACAAGATTTAATTCCTATAGAAAAAAATACCCATCTCATTAGTATGCAAATTCACTTTAATCTTTAATGAATGGCAACATTATATGTAAACCAAAGAAATGTTTTTAAATCAATACATGATTATCAATAATGTTTGATTTGTACACATTTTAAATACCTATATATCTGGGGGGGTCACATGAAAATTTTTGGCAAGAGGTCACAATTGTAAAAAAAATTTAAGCAGCTCTGATAGACAATAAGCTGGGGTAACCAGGTAATTACTTTTTATTATAAAACTTTTTAAAGAACCTAAACGGGGGAGACTAAATGGTACTATTAAAAAACAACAGACCTCAGTCATTATCATTGTTACTTACCATAATATCCTACTTTTCTTCAAGTTCTATTTAATAAGAATTTTTACACATGAATTAAACCCAACAGTATATTATAGTTTCTTAGCTACTGAGGTGCTAAAAACGAAGTTCCTAGAAAACAATATTTCACAAGCACCTTTAAAATATTATAGCACATTACCACCTGCCTCTATCAAAATGAAAGCAGCTTCACTCAAGTTAATACCCTGACAGTAATACAACAAACGTCAACCTCCACGAAAGTAAATCACTCTCTTTCAGAAACGAAGTTCTGTATCTACTTCAGTTCAGACTGTTAACAATTTACCACAGGGCTGGAGAGACACTTAAAGAACTTGCTTTAACCTGAATCCAGTCCTCAGAAACCCATGTAAAAGAAAATGTGGTCTGCTGACATATGCTTGTAATAGCTGCACTAGGGAGACAGACAGGTGGATCTGTGAGGCTCACTAGCCAGCCAGCCTCATCTTCTTCATGAGTTCCAGGCTAGTGAGAAACTGTCTCAAAAAAAACCAAAGTGTATGGATCCTAGATAATGACACCAGAAGTTGACTTCTGGGCTCCACATGCATACACACATATGTACATGAAACTGTAAATATATTTATATACCCAAAATTGTATCCAATTTAATAATGCTAAATTGCAAAAAAATCAAGAAGGGGTTTAAGAGCTTGGTATGTACCAAAATTAAGAAGGAACCTTAAAAACTTTGTGACATTTATATATTTATGTATTGTATAGCAAACTGGTTTTTTATTAGCCACTTGCTAACTGCTCTGATAAAAAATTCTGTGAGGGATACATTTGAAATTAATGCCTGGGTAGATCATCTATAAATCTCATATATCTCCAATCCATTACTATATATATATTCACTCCAATCCATTACTAAAGTTCCCCACTACTGCTTTGGGACCACTGAGAAAACTTAGATTAACTGCCCTTAGAAGTCTTGGAACAACTAATGAGAATCCTGTAATGGCCTCATAAGAGGTAAATGGCAGCTCCCTGAGAGCACAGTGGAGAACTAACGTGTGATGAAGACAAACCTTAAGAGCAGCAAACACTAAATCTCTCCCATTATGTTCAAAGTTGGGCTATTTACAGAAAAACCATACTGAGAAGGTGCTTTTGTTCTAATTAATTTATTTTTTTTAAGACTGGATCTCACTATGTAGCCTTGGCTGGCCTAGAATTTGCTTTGTAGACCAGGTTAGCCAGAAACTCAGAGATCCCCTGTCCAGTGCTGGGATTAAAGTCATGCACCATCACTTGCATCCTGAGGTTTTAATCTGCTTCTGAGTTGGCGATTCTTCACTGTTGAATACTGCTTCAAAGTCACTGCAGGTTTTTTTGGTTTTTGTTTTGCTTGCTAGCTGCTGAATGAAAGAGAGGGGACTTTGCTATCAACAATATTTGTAGAGTTAATTGTGTGTGTGTGTGTGTGTGTGTGTGTGTGCATGCACATTTGTGAACTCTCTATGTATATCAGGTTAACCTTGAACTCAGAGGTCTGCCTACCTCTACCCACCAAGTTCTGCTATCAATAGGCTAGTCTTAACTCTTTTACTTCACAGTCCCACATCTGTCCTTTAGTAAGGAAAAAAATCCAAACCAAAACCAACCTTATACTTAAAAGAACAAAATGGCGGGACAAACTGGAACCCAAGAACCCTCGAGACTGGGGCAACCTAGGCCACAGTGAGATCCAGTCTCAAATGGGAGAAAGGAGGGAAAGGAAGGAGTGGGAAGAGGTGTGGAGGGGAGAAGATGAGAAGGGAAAGCATGCCACAAACCAATCACTAGTTAGCATTTTAGTCACAATGTCTTGTCTACATCATGCAAAGAACAGAAGAGCAGCACAGAGACATTGCACCAAGCTGCAAACATTTTGTTTCTTGCCACAGAACCAAGAAATATATTATTAAAGAATTCTGTTTCAGAGATGAAAAAATTCATTTTATGGAAAAAATATACATATTTAACTTTTTGGGTTTTAAGGCAGGGTTTCTCTGTGAAAACCTGGTTGTCCTGGAACTCACTCTATAGACCACGCTGGCCTTGAACTCTCAGAGATCTGCCTATCTCTGCCTTCTGAATGCTGGGATTAAAGTTGTGCATCACCACCACCTGTCTGGGAAAAAAAAATTTGAGAAAATCAATATACCAATTAAAAGATTCTATCTAAGTTGTTTCACTAGCTATCCAAATCTCTTTAATTTTTAAAAAAACTTTTAAATTATTGTTCATTGTTTGTGGCAAATAAATGAACTTAATTATGAAAAAAAAGAATCCTGTTTCAGATTAGAATCGATTTATGTTCAAAGTTAAAGTTTTTGTTTCTATGCCTGGAACCACCTCTTTGCCACTTTGTGTTTACACACTTACTCTAAAATATTAACAACAACCTCACAAACAGTCTGTTTAACAGTAATTAGAATTTTATCTAGTTAACACAACAGCAAAGCCTGCCACAACACAGATGGCAGAAGACTTTCTCCTTTCCTCGTCAGTGTCAAAGAACTTCTATTTAATGATTAAGAAATCTGCACAGAAAAAAAGAAAGAAAAAAATCTGCACAGAGTATTTACAAAACACAAACTACAACAGGATTACTTTATTAGGAAATTCTGTACAGCAAAATCCTTGGTTATTTCTGTTTCTTGGTTTCTCAAGACTTTGGTTCTCTTTTGGTTCTCTTTTGTTCTTTTTATTTATTTAAATTAGAAACAAGCTTTCTTCACATGTCAATCCCAGCTCCCTCTCCCCTTGGTTATTTCTTAAGGTAAAGATTTTTCTCACGACACTGGCCAAACCCAATCAAATATGAGATTAAAGAATCAGGATGGACAGAGGCTGCACTATTGGTTTGACTCAGGGTCTTTAAAGCACACCAATTCCCTGAAAAGCACAAATACCTAAACTCTATGCATATTGGAACCATATAGCAGCATTTAAAAATCTCAATGTGCAAATTACACCCCAAACTCAGGTCTGAATATGAGACAAGGATGAGTATTCTTAAAACTCCTAAGCAGTTACATATGGTTCATTCCTAGCAATTTATAATACCAGGAAGCTTGGCATCTGGCACTAGCTGGGCCAACAGCAAGCTTGGGTACATCTCTGTGTGGCCATTTCCTCAGCTGGAAAGTTATTTCTAATATCTAACATGCTGTGAGTCTAGGGATATATTCTTTAGTTCTCTTACAAAGATTGAACTGGCTTCAACATATAAATTTTTCTAAGGGGGTGGGCAACAGTAACAAGAAACAGTTGGAATCCATGGTCTGTTAAGAGTTTAGTTTTGAAAGGAAAGATTATTTTATAGTATATATCAAGTTCAGCTATACTTCCACTGCAGAGATTTTTATATAACCACCTCCTTCCAAGTCATAAAATAGTATCTATGTTGGAAATGTATGAAAACTTGAATTATCTTAAAATATAACAATCTTTCGAATTTCTATAAAAATATCTACATATTTTCTGATTTTTAACAACTTTCCTATTTTGTTGAGTTCTTACAGATATAATTTTAACTTCTTTTCTTGGTAGTAGTGGTCTGATTGTTTTCACACAGGGTCTTACTATGTTCTCAGGCTAGCCTCTAACTTGTCATCCTCCTGACTCAGCCTCCACAATGTTAGAATTACAGACATGTGTCACTCACTGGACATAGCATGACTTTAACACTCTATTAATATTCACTCATTTCATAAAAGGAAACCACTAAAATATAGGAACATGGGTAAAAAGCATGTTATCTAATTGTCCTAAACCAAATTCTTACTGTCACCCAGTTCTCTTACAAATGATTTGTTACCAATTATGAAGATGCTTGAAAAAACTAATGCAACCAGATGAGCATCTTACTGTACCAGTATCTGTGGACTGGATGTCAAACTTCAAAGATGTCCCTCATGATTCCAGCTCCCCGGTATTCACATATGTACTCTAGTAACCTGATAACAAAAAATAATGACAGAAATGACATACATGATGCCACTTCTGTGACAAGGTTACTAAAGACTGATGTTCCTACTGCCATGCTCTATGCTGGGACTCTTTCTTGTCTTCTTGCTTGCACTGACAAAGTCAGCTCACATGCTCTGAGAGTTTTTTTGTTTTTTTTTGTTTTGGTTTGGTTTGGTTTTTTTGAGACAGGGTTTCTCTATGTAGCTTTGGAGCCTGTCCTGGCCTCTACTTGCTTTGTAGACCAGGCAGGCCTCGAACACAGGGATCTGCCTGCCTCTGTCTCTTAAGTGCTGGTATTAGAGATATGTGCCACCACTGCCCGACAGCTGTGAGATGTTTTGCAGGTACGTATGGCAAAGAACAGAGAAGCTTCTGGCCACAGGCAGTCTGAGAAGAAATGGATCCTGCCAACTACTGTATGAATAAGCTAGGAAGTAGATCCTTCTACAGCAAAATTGCCCATTCCCCTTAATTTTTTAACACTGCTGGAAATCAATCCAGGGCCAAGCCCATTCTAGGTAGGTGCTTTACCACCCAGCTACACCCTCAGCCTTTCCCACTCCCTCTTGAAACCACACCCATCAGGCTCCTTTCCCAAACTTTGCCTAATATCTTCCACATTACTAATTAAAATGACCAATTTCCAGTTTATTCTTACTTTACCCATGAGCAGCAGCTGACAAAAATAACCTCATCCTGGAAGCACACAACTCTCAGAATATCAGCTTTACTGGCTTTATTTTCATTCTCCTTTGCTGGTTCCCCATCTCTCTACCTGAGCCCTGGAGTTCAGTTCTTGGACCTCTCCTCTTGCACCTATGTTTATTCCCCAAGCGGCCTCCTCCAGACTTAGATATCCACCATCTACAAACTGACATATCCAAATTATTTATAGTTTGTTCTTCTCTCCACAACTGTTCTCTAATATACACAATTACCTGTTGAGCATATTTTACTTATGCATTTAATATGTATTGCATTTCAGAATTAAAGCCTTGATTAGTTTTAGCACAAACCACACAGTCTCTTCCACCGCTGGTCTTCCCCCTTTTACTAAATGACAACACTAAGTTTCCAGTTGCATAGATCAAAAACCTTAGTTAGCTCTGTTTCTTGCCTCTTCTCTCTATCCCCACCTCTCATCCTTTAGTTGTCAATTTTACTTAAAAACAAAAATCTAACCTCATAAAAAAAATGTTCACTGCTATGAGGCTCATGGATTAACTGCAATATTCTCGTAAACTGCCTTTCTGCCTTGAACCCTCAAGTCTCTTCACCGTTAAGAATAGTTAGGTCATGTGGTCACTCTGTTCAAAACTCCCCCATGGCATCATTCTCAGGTCAACAGGCAAAGTCCCAACAAAGTTTCTCACTTCTCTGATCGCTATTGTTCTCCCCTCATCTGATTCTAATTCAGTGAAGTGGCTTTCTCCTTCTTGAACATTCCAGGCATCCACAGACATTACACTTACTATACCTGGTAATTGCAATGTTCTTCCCTAAATTACAGATCAAGATTATTCCTTTTGGTCTTCACTCGTTAGCCACTTTCTCAAGCCTGCCCACCTCCAAATCCCATGTTTCTCAACCCTCTACACATTCCCTTTCTCTCCTTTTTCTCTGTAGTATTTATTGTTGATACATTGTATTTTACCATTTATTTTCTAACTCCATCCATTAGACTGCAAGCACCATAAAAGGTATATATTTAAAAATGACTATAGAAACCAATAGGATTCCCTCAGTGATTTATGCCAATATGGCAGAATAATGTGAATAACTTCAACAGTACCAAAATATCGCATTCATATTTCAATCATTTATTTACATTCTGACAAGTTTAACTCCCTAATTACCATTCTAGCATTATATTAAGTTAGTGTGCATTCTTCTGAATACATACTAATTAGAAGAGGAATCAGTGCAGAATCAAACAATAAGCAACACAAAAGTTAAAAAAAAAAAAAAAAAAAAAAAAAAAAAAAAAAAAAAAAATTTTCCCAGGACCAGGGAGACGGCTTGATGGTAAGAGGGCATGAGGACCTGAGTAATTCTTAGCACTCACATAAAAAGCCAGGTATGGCTGTGCATGCCTGTAATACTAACATTGGAGGACAGTCAGTCAGAGCCCAAGAGCTCTCTAGTCAGCTACCCTACCCCAAATTTTGAGTCTGGTTTGGAAACAGGTGGAGAGCCATACACAAAGACACCCCATATGCTGTTCCGGCCTTGGCATGTGTGCATATAGAAACACATATCCACACACTCACAGGCATGTACCATACACATACACAATGCATACATACATACATACACAACAATAATTTTCTATTGATAATCCAAGGTGAAAAGTTCACATACAACAATTTAAAGAATTCAACAATTTAAAGATATTACAGACTAGGAATTGAAAAAATACATTTTCAAATGATTTAAAAAAAAACCTTTAAAGGTATTTAATTCTTTCATATTGAGCTACATCTTCTACCAAAGACACCAATGTATTTACATCCAATATCAAATCTAGACATTATTTTCATTTTTCTTCTTCTAAACTATCAGCAATAAAAGGAATACAATATTTAGATGAGAAACTAAGTCCACAGTTAAAAGCAAGACTTGACTAAGCTGAGCTAAGTTTGTGTTGTGTAGTGTTACACATTTCCCAAGGCACTTTCACACCTTCATTATGATTGTCCTATTGACATGTAGGGCAGACAGTATCACATCTCCACATACCTCTCAATATACATGATTTTACAGATGGAAAAATAAGTCTTAGGTTTAACTAGTTTGCTCAAGATTACAAAGTTATATACAGTCATGCTGAACTATAATTGACTGGGTTTGTTGTTGTTGTTATGTTTTCTACCCTAACATATTCCATTATTCAGTGACTAAAAGCACCACTGTGCAAATTCACAAAGACTTGACTATCTCAGCTTCCTTTAGGAGTGGAGATTTTCATATTCCTATTTATTTTTAAAATGCTTTTAGATGGTACAAATGTGTTAACATCCTTATTTCTAAAAAACTTAAAAAGCCCAGGAAGTCAGTAAAGTATTGAAAGCTGAGTATCCAAAACAGTATAAACATAAGATTACTTTCACACACAGGATCAGTGTTTAATGGTTGCTTTCACACACAGGACCAGCATTTTTCCACCTTTGGACTATCAAACAGAGACCAAATACCAAAACAAGTGTTCAAGGAAGGTATTTATCAGAAGCCATTCCAGCTAAAAATCATTTTATTACTGTTAGAGCTCCTATCTCCATCTGAATATATCAGCAATCCTGACTGAAATAATAAGTTATTTTTGCCCTTCTCCCCAAAGACTTTAGCTCAGATAAACAAACAGCTCCAGGACTCATTTCATCTGAACTTCTGCCTGTTCCCTTTAATATTCCAAGGGAGGCATTCCTTGACCATTCCAATTTCATGAACACCCCACAGCAAACTAGAAACAAACCACCCCAAAAAGCACACATCATGTAAGAATGAAAGCCCTGTTCTTCCCATCACTAGAGCCTGGTGCCCCTTACCCCTTCAAAAACCTCCCATTAGTAGAATCTGAATCTTCTCAGTCTTTATTAATACATTCACTGACTAACCTAGAAGTCTACCTTTCCTCTACTTCCAGCTGTGTTAAACAGATTGATTTACCTATTATGTAAGGCTACCTGAATTGGTATTTTTTCATATTTAATGTTCAGTCATACCTGGAACATATATTAGCTAACATATATAAAAGGGATCTGTGAGGCAAAACATTCTCTCAAATCTAAAAAAAAAATTTAAAAAGTTACTCATTTAGTAAATGATTCAAAGAGAAGAAAGACAAGCATTAAGCTACAGAATGAACTTTGGAAAAGAAATGGGACAGCTCTGTTTACTTTTTATAGTGATTTTTCTCTGATAGGGTACTCCTGAAAAACTTGGAAGGAGGCAAGCACACATGGAGATGTGTCATTCTACACTCAATTTCCAGAGCTACAACTAAATGGAGGAAATAATTGAGCAACTGTAACAAGAATCCTCATTAATGTTTACAATCAATCCCGGGAAAGTTTTGTTTCATTTGTCGTTTTTTTTTTCTTGTTTGTTTGTTTGTTTGTTGAGACAGGGTTTCCCTGTATTGTTTTGGAGGCTGTCCTGGAACTCACTCTGTAGACTAGGCTGGCCTCGAACTCACAGAGATCTGCCTGCCTCTGCCTCCCTAGTGCTGGGACTAAAGAAGTGTGCCACCAATGCCTGGTTTCAGTCCTGGGAAAGTTAAACTATACTTCTGCTAACCTTGGTCTTGGGAATGGCACCCCCCTCCCTATCCCATCCCCCCAGAGAGGGGTCTCACTATGTAGATCTAACTGTCCTGGAATTCACTATATAGAGCAGGCTGGCCTCAAATTCACAGAGATGTGTCTGTCTTTGCCTCCTGAGTGCTGGGATTAAAGACATGTACCACTACACCTAGCTGGCATTCACATTTTAGGATAAAATTCTATATGATCAAATACAGAGAATACATCTTGGTTGTAAATGATTCTAAAAGAGGTAAGACTAAAAAAAGGCATCAAAGAGGAAGGAAAAAGTCTTCAATTCCAAACCACATTAGTTTTTACTATCCTCAACATCTACTCTTCCTACAGTCTATGCCTCCATACATGATATTCATCTGTCAACTTGGTTCTCCCTTATTATTGTTTCCTTGTGTGCTGTCTTCACTAACCCAGCTCCTCTTACTACAGAGCCTGGAGGCAGAGCAAGTATCCCATGTCCATTCCACACATCTACCCCTCCTCCCTAAAAACATCCAACTTGGATTCAATTGTCACCAGACTACAACCACCCACTGCCCCTACTGTTGGAATTGCCTATCAAATGTTCCATTCACTTAAGACTACAGCTGCTTATTCATTCCACCATTATCATTCTCTCCTCCCCAAATCCTTGCTTAGGTATTCCTTGATCTCTCTTCCCATGACCC